AAACTTCTTATAAAGAAATTTCCAGACACAATGTTTGGTGACTTCTTTCAAATATTTAGGGAACAAATAGTGTTAATGTTTATGATAACTTCCAAGGAAAGCAAAAGAAGAAGCATTCAATAATATATTTTATGAGGAAAGATGTAACTTTGATATCAAAACATAACAAGTACACGGAAAGAGAGAACTACCGGCCAATCCAACTCCTAAATATGGAGATAAGAATCCCAAGAACAATATTAACAATATTAAGAATCCCAAGAACAATCCCAAGAACAAAAAGAATCCCAAAAACAATAACTTGCACGTATCATAATGCACATAATACCAGGACTCAATATTGGTTTAGCATTAGAAAATTAATTTATTAATCCATTCATGTCAGCAGATGAAAAAGGGAAAAAATGATTATTTCACTATTTGAAAAACTACTTTTTATTATACTGAAAGTTTATTCAGTAAAATCTTTTTAGAAAATAAGAAATAAAGGTGTGGCTGGCAGGATGGCTGAAGTAGCAGCTCCAGTCTGTAGCTCCCAGCGAGATCAATGCAGAAGGTGGGTAATTTCTGCATTTCCAACTGAGGTACCTGGCTATCTCATTGGGATTGGTTAGACAGTGGGTGCAGCCCATGGAGGGTGAGCTGAAGCAGGGTGTGGCCTCACCTCACCCAGGAAGCATAAGGGGTCAAGGAACTCCCTCCCCTAGCTAAGGGAAGCTTCCAGGGACTGTACCACGAGGAATGATGCACTCTGGCCCAGATACTGCGCTTTTCCCATGTTCTTCACAACCCACAGACCAGGAGATTCCCCGGGTGCCTATGCCAGCAGGGCCCTGGGTTTCAAGCACATAAATGTAACACTCACTGTGTTACAATTGCCTGTAGTAGTCAGTACACTAATATTCTCTACAGGTTTGTCAATTAGGAGGGATGAGCTATTTCATATAGCCTAGGTGTATAGTGTCTACTATATATACCATCTACATTTGTGTAAGTACACTCTACCACATTTGCACAATGACAAAATCACTTGACATCACATTTCTCAGAACGTATCCCCATGGTTAAACAACACATGACTGTAACTTTTTGTAGATGCTTTTTATCAAGTGGATAAAGTTTCCTCTATTCCCACTTTATAGAGAGCTTTTATCATGAATGGATATTGAAATGTGTTAAATGTTTATTATGCATCAACTGATACAAAGTAATTCTCCTTCTTTTGCTTGTTAACATGGTAGATTATTTTGATTGACTTTTTGAAATTTAATCAGCCTTGTATTTCTGGAAACAACCCCCCTTGAACATGGGGTACTTTTTTTTAATATACTGCAGAACTCCATTTGTTAATATTAAGTTATACATACCTTTACATATGCACACACACCCTGGTTTTGGTGTCTCTCCTGGTTTTGGTATCAGTGTAATAATAGCTTCAAAAAGTAAATTGGGGAGTGTTCTCTCCTTTTCTGTTTTCTGGAAATGACTCTGTAGCATTGGTGTTAATTTTTTAAAAACATGTGAGAATTCTCCAGTGAAACCATCTAAACCTAGAGATTTCTTATTTGGTAGTTTTAAAATTATGAATTCTATTTTCTTAATGGTTATAGAGTTCTTCAAATGGTCAATTCCTGCGTGGTGAGTTGAGTTAGTTTGTGTCGCAGCAGGAACACTGCATTTTGTCCATTTTGTCTAAATTGTCTAATTTATGTGTGTGGAGTGGTTTGTAATATTCCTTGATTGTCCTTTGTGATGTGCGGTGTCTGTAGTGATATCGCCTGTTTCATTATGATATTTAAAATGTATGTCTTTTCTTTTCCTTTTAATTTCTGCTTGAGTTTGCTAAATTTTCTTAATCTTTTAACAGAGCTATCTCTTTGTTTCATTGATTTAACTATTGTTTTTCTCTTTTAAATGTAAGTGTTTTCTGTTCTTATCTTTATTAATCCCCACCCTCTACTTGCTTTCAGTTTATTCTGCTCTTCTTTTTCTAGGTTCCTGAGGTGGAAATCTATTGCTCACTCGAGACTTTTCCTCTTTCCTAATGCATGCATTTATTGCTATAAGTTTCCTTCTCAGCACTTTGATATGTCACAGTTTCATGTTTATCCAGTCCAATGTATTTTTAAATTTCTCCTTGAGACTTCTTTGTTAACCAATAGACGATTTTGAAGTGTGTTTTTAAATTTTCAAACGTTTAGGGATTTTCATATCTTTCTTATGCTGTTTTCTAATTGGATTCCCTACAATGATTTGTGGTTTTCACCTGCTCTGGATGATTACTATCTCTTTTAAATTGGTTGTGGCGAGTTTTAGGGCCTAGGATAGCTCTATCTTGCCATATGTTTTGTCAGAATTCAAAAAAAAATATATGTATTCTGCTATTGTGTGGAATATTCTGTAAATGCCAAAAAGATTCTTTTGGTTAATGGCATTTTGAGTTGTTTTATATTCTTGTTGATTTTTTTCCTCTTTTTAAAAATATGAAATGTTTCACAAAATTTTGTGTAATCTATATGCAGGAACCGTGTTAGTCTTGTCTACATCATTCTAATTTTAGAAAGTGCTGCCAAAGCCAACACTCCTTGCTGATTTTCTGTCTAGTTCTATCAATTATTGAAAAAGGCATGAGGAAGTTTCTAACTATAATTGTGGATTCGTCTATATCTCCTTTCAGTTCTGGCAGTTTTCTTTCTTAAAAAAGTCAACAAAAATTTATTTAATTAAGCATAAAGTTACTTTCTCATTTATCTACAACCACAGTGAATACACTTCTTGGCATGAAGACACAGCCTTTAGAATTTAAAGCCTCCCCACCTGCGAGATTACATATATAAAACTCCCACTGTTGTT